AAGTCTATCCCGATTACTTTAAAGTTTTCCAGAATAATTCAGACGTTTCTGAATTTCAAATACAGGTTGTACTTCATTTCATTTCAATTTATTCATATAATAAAGTCATTCTGGTATTCGTGGTTGATTTGACTAACGACTACCCACTTATTAGTACTGTATGCACTCTAGAGTTGAGTTGCGCCAAGTACTTCCAGAATTATCATCGATCCAAATTTGAGAAGATGAACAAACATTCAAGTGATACTTATATCATTCAGGTAATGATATAGTACTAACGTTGGTTAATCACTTAAGTTGCGTTCTACAACTTTTACTGGTAGCACAACATCCATGTTTATTTGGATTTCTTAATTAATCCAAGACATTTACTTATTCTAGGTCATAAGGGCATTTTGGTCATTTTGGTGCTTAACATTTTTTTCTATTCATTTCAAAGCTTGAGTATATCCATTCATTCCTGAGCTTGGTGACATTCTTGAGTCATTTCCATTCCAGGGGTAATTTGGTCATTTTATAATTCTAGAATATTTCAATCATTTCCTTCCATCCGGTCTTATTATTTAATTCAATCTTATCATTTACTTCAGTCCTTTCGAACAATTCTGTCAGCAGAATACCTCCGATAAATTACTCTTCAAGTATTTACTTCTTATTCGAATATTTTCGGGTCAAGTGTCTTCTCAGATTTTACAAACGGAATATTATAAATTTTTCTGTACAAAGACAGGATCTTAACAATTAAATTCGTACTTAATCGAGTTAAGTACAAATCCTCAAAGTACTCTCTCATTCAGGGTCAATTCAGCCTATTTTATTCCTCAAGGGCATTTTCGTAATTTCTTAACCAGATAATTTCAATATTAGCTCTTAACGAAAATAGTTATAATTTAGAGATCCTATGATCAATTACTTTCCCGAACATTCTTTAATTTTGAAATGATTCCTTCACAAACTCTCATAGGATTAAAACCGGTTATCCATAATTTCCAAATAAAACTAACATTTCTTATGCACATCAGTAGTTATATCAGATCAATATGTCTTTTCAGAGTTATTAACCAACTTCCAGTGGCAATTCTTATCATTTTCCAACATAAGGGTAATTTCATAATTTTACCATATCGGAGTATTCTCATAATTTTTCATCCAAGTATCTTTAACATTTAACCCTTGATGATATAAAATATAAGTTACAAATCCAGAGCTGATTTCTTTATCACCAATCACAAACTTGTTATTTAATTCTAACAATTATCAATCTCTTATCTTAGTCATTCGATCCGTATTCAGTTACAGAATTTCTACCACATTCATATCGAGTGAATAAATTATTCAACTCCACAAAAGTGACCAACATTATCTTATTCATGCATTTACCAATATCAACATGTTCCATAAAGCATAAAGAGGTAGTAAAGTATTACCTCATTTTCCGTGTCATACTGGTTGACCATTAAATTCCATTCGAACGCCCTCGATCTTTAATTCAACTTCCTATATTTTCCTCACGATCCAGGCCATCAAAATTACTAACTCGTATCCAAATAATTTCCTTCGCCATAAAGATAGCTTATTAGAATTTAAATAATAATTTGGAAATCCAATTTGTATAATAGAATACTTATGGGGTTACTTTAATAATTAATCACTAAAAATAGAGACTGAACTGAAATAATTTACACTATTGGGCCATAAACAAAAACTAATGAAAACTAGGAGACAATGCCAAGTTCTTACCATATGCTTCTTCGAAATTCCAAGCTGTATGTGGAAATCAAATAAATGCGGCTCCACCTTTGACATTGAAATTGATAATGATTTGAATAGCCATGTGTTTGCAATAAATAAATAAAATGATAATGGAATGGTCTCCACGGCAAATGCAACAATTGAAAATGCATTGGACCCCGCGGCAATTTCAATAAACAAAAGTAGTTGATAATTCATTGGCCCCCACGGCAATACAGAACCGAAAGTCACATTGGACTTGCTCGAGTGATTGCATCGTCCACCTTTTTCTCACTTCCTTCTCTTTGTACGATTGGTTTATAGAGCATGGCTCAGTGTATAAACTTGCTTTTGGATCAAAATCTTTTGTCGTTGTATCAGATTCTATATCACGAACGAGGTATAAGAAAGCGAAGTTATGGAGGGTCTCTAGCCAACATCGATCTGTCATAGCTAAGTTCGCCACCCCTAGGAGCTTCCTAAATCCATAACCGGTCAAAGAGTCCCAGTGATGCATCAATTACCAGAAAGTACACCACTCGGTTTCCATCGTGAGAGATGAAGCGGCAATACCATGCATGTAGACTCCTTGCACTACCTCTTGTCTCCTTCAAGAATCACTCGGGAGAAACCCATGTCCAAAGCAACTCGACTGCATGCGAGGCAGACATAGCTTTCGCTCCAAAATTCCATAAGTGGAATCTGAGGAAAGTTGCAGAGATGAAGCGGTTATAGTGGCTGCGTCCATTGAAACTAAAGCAACTTTCTCGGTGGGATTTAGTGGATACAAAAGCTTGCAAAAGTGAAAGCTTAAAGAAATGGATTCCACTGCCATACCATTATCCTTATTTAAAAAATATATCTTTTCAAGTTGTGGTTCCCAAATATTTAAAATATATATATATATAAACAAATCAATCCATGTATTTTAATCAATCACTCATCCAACAATTTGGACACATTCAACCTATCTCCTTATCTTCAATTTATTTAATAACTTAATGGTCTAATAAAATAATTATTAGCCAACCAACATCATATCATTTCATATATTTTAAACTAAAAGAAATCTAACCCCATCTTGGGGTGTGACAAAGGGGTTTGTGCCGCATCTTTGCCAACTACCATGGTAAGTTTTTTCTTTCTTTTTTCCGCTTTCTTTAGCTTTTTCTCGTTAGTAGTGTGTGTGCTTGTGCTTGTGCTTGTGCTTGTGCTTGTGCTTGTGCTTGTGCGTGCGCGAGTGCGCAAGTGCATATGAACGGACTGACATGAATTGATCTACCTATATAGATATACACACTCAGAAACACAAATAGAAGACATGAATGATTCTATCTATACTCACACGCACATGCATGCATGTGTGTTTATATTGTGCTTGAAAATGTGATGCAAATATGCATGTTCACCCTTTCAGCATGTTCTTTATGGTGCTTAAATCATAAAATTGGACTTTAGAATATGCATTAGCAATAATCATTAAGTTGTTGATATACTGTTTGGTACATAAAATAAAAAAATTTCATGGTTTTCCTAACATCTAGTATATGAAATAACTTTTCATGGAGTTGTTGCTGGACTTCTGGTTCAAAATACGCTAAAGTTCTTGTTGGGATTTGGACAAGTTTCTCCGTACTTGGTAAGTCCTAAATCAACACTCCCTCTCTCCCATCTCTGTAAATGGTGTCTGCAGTTTAATCCTTTGCTTTATGTGAGGTGTTCTTACTAGGTTACTAATGACCTCTTGTGCTTACTCTTGGTTTTTGATAGATTTTTACTGTGTTGCTGATTGTAGGTATACAGTTCTCTTAAAAATTTCTTCCCAACAATGGCAATGAAGCCAAATCCTCAATGTTCAAACACTTCCTGTCTGGAGCGGCAGGTAAGAAAGTGATTTCTGTCTTTCTGGTCATTTGGGTTTTGTTCTTCTGATGGAGTGGACTATTGCTTTGCAGAAAGAATACATTCTTGCAAAACCAGCCAGAGATGCTGCCAAGATGGAGGCTGAAGCCTCAGCTGCTGCCGCAGCAGATGTGCCACTCCATGTTGATAATGAATGGAACATAAGGTACAAATCACAACCCTTAGAGATGGACTAGTGCATCTTACACAATCTTCAACTCAAATTCTGAAAACTAACACTATTTTTTTGTTTTCGTAGTTATACGATTCTGAAATTTGACTGGATTTACAAATTTATATAGTGATCGACTGACGTGCTTCCTATGATGTTAAAAGATGTTATGGACTGTTCTACATTTACTTTATTCATGGATCATTATCGTTGTATGATTTTACTTGGGGATATTAACCAGTTTATGCAAAATTCTTTTTGCAGTGTTGTAGATGACAATGAGCTGGAGAAGAGTACTTGTGGCACAACTTTAGGTGTTTTTCTTCTCTATCCACTGTTTTGAACTTTCTTCCAGTTTCTCACTTGCTGATTTTTCTTTTATATATATGATTGCATTATCTTCTTGTGAAGTTCTGAATACATGAATTGAGGCCCCTCTATACAAAAAATTTTAGAAGAATTACTGTGTTATTCCAGTCACTTCTCTTTTAATCTGCTGATCGCGTAAACATTGGGATTTCAGATGGGATGGTATGTTAAAAGGGCACAGTTTCCATACGAAATAAAAGATTTTGCTGTCTTAGTTGCTCTTCAACACATGCTAATAGTTGGTAGCTTGCAGTTCTGACCCTATTTACAAGGATTAAGTCTCCGCCGAAATCTTGTTGCAGGACCAGTTTTCTCTACAATGAGCATGACTGTCATTTGATACACACAAATTTACAGTTTTCTTTAATTTGATTGTCGAGGTGGAATTACCTTGAAACTTTGAACTGTCCCAATTACTAACTTTCATTTGCTTGTTATCTTCTTTACCACTCTTGTTTGATCTCAACATTTCATTTCCCTAAGCTGCTTTCCTCTATTCAGTGCCAATGATTTTCAAAAGCCCCAGCCATCCGGAGCCACAGATACTGCTATCGATGATCTTGAAGATCTCCGGAGGCAACTTGATGCTCTGAATGCTACTAGTTAATGTCCCGGCATAACTTCTAGTTGAAAGATAGGAACACTCCTAGAATTAATTCTGTTACCATTGAAGGCTAAATAAAACAGTTCTGGGGGTTCAACATTCAAGCAAATGAACCCCCCCCCCCAAAAAAAAATTCCCAAAAAAATACATTTTAGGGTTTAACAAATTCTCATTCAGTTAACAAATCCATATGATACCCAAAGTTTTGGAACATGCAGTTATCTCAAACGAGTATTATTGTAGGAAACATATATCTATTTGAAAATCATCCTAAATCAGAATAACATAAATAGATTCTGTGTTACAGTTATAACATAGGATACAAGATAAGAAGTAACAATCGTGCTTGTCGAGATAAAAAACCGGTACATGAACATAAAACTACAGCTCTTTGAACTGCAGTAAAATTTGGTCCATCTGTGGTTGATGTTTTCTGACCTGCAAAAGAAAATTCACAATTCATTTGAGAAACTTTAAAAGTCAAACACAAAGAAGCCCAAGGTCATTGATGGAAATATAAATTAACAAAAAAGCACTAAGATGACTTTATTGAGTAAAACTAATATCGTGGTTATCATCAAACTGAGGATGAAGGATTTACTTTAACACCAGCCATCGATAGCAGCTTGTGCGAAGCAACATATGCAGTGTCTGTATTCAGTCTTTTCTCTATAAAATATATGACTTCTGAGACACCCGACTGCAACATACCCAAATCCATAGATGGTAAACATCAATGTTGATGAAAGGAGAAACAAAATCTATACGGAGTCGATATTTACTAAACATAAAGTTGATGGTTTGGTTCGAAGCATTGAGGGGAACATTGGTATCAAACCTGAATGATTATCTTTGCACATTCATTGCAGGGGAACATGGTCACATAAAGCCTCTGCAAAATTTCAAAACAAGATGAAAGATCCTCTCAGTGCCATTTGAGGACTTGCGGTAGAAGGGACTTGCAAGAAAAATCCGAATAAAATATAAGTAAAACTATAAAGTTTTGCTATGTTTTCACTTGGAGTCTACTAAAATTTGAATAATATATATATGTTGGTTAGCACGCTTAGCAGCTGATAGAGAACTCAAGTAACTAACCTGGCCAGCTGCGGATGCATGATTTGTATTCAAGATAGCATTGACTTCAGCATGACAAACATACCTACAACAGATGATTCAAGAATAAGTATCAAACCTAAGTATTATCATTACAAGAATGATCTTTATTATCGAAGGTTCAGAGCATACAGTTTGATTAATGCTCAAGATGAAAGACCATGAATAACAACTATAGACTAATTGGCAAGACAGAAAGAAACACAAACAATAACATTAAGCCATCAATCCCGAATCATACGTGTGAGAGTTCAGGAAAAAGCTTAGTACTCACGGATATTTCGTCTCCAATGGGTCCCCAGATTTGGACATCTGAGACATCATTCAAAGCACAAGTTTATTTAAGGATTTAGGCCTAGAAAATGATGGAATTTGTAAGCTTAGCATTCATTAATAACATATATCAAACCTTTGCCCAAGGAAGCTGGTCATCAGAACAACCCCTAGGAAACCCATTATAGCCAATGCCTGACCAAAGGGAACAAAAATATCCATCAACAATGGCTGCCTAGAATTGCTAACTTTAACTCTAAGATTGCAATTTAAGCAAAAAACTTACCAAGAATTATACCATTTGACTCACCAAGCATGCACCAACCTGAAGGGAAAAAAACCAATACAAATATTAGAGTCAAAGTTCTCGATTTGAACTTATCTAGAATTCAGACTTTCAAACAAGCAAGCAAGCAAGCAAACAAACATGGCAGCTGCAAAATTAAGCACTTTGGGTAGCTACGAATATACATAATTTAATGGAAAATTTAAACCTCTTAACAAAAAACTATGACCTGCCTGTTCGGGTCTTTGGATCTCTTAGCGGATAAGAATGCAATCGCCATAAAATAGTCATCCCATGACAAATATCTGCAATAGTAACAAAAAATTAACCTTTTTTTAGATTAGATTTTCTACCACGAATACGAGTTACGAGTAAGTATTATACTAACCCTTTGCGTTTCGATGGATCGAAAGGATCCTGGGAGGAGCGTTTCTTTGAAACGTCACCGTTTTGGGATGAATTGATTGGAGAAGACTTTTTACTAGGGATGGAGAAGAATGTATGATAAGCAAAAGCAGAGGCAAAAGCACCAAAGATGGTGGCTATCGAGACCAGGGCAACGTCTCGGCAGTTCATGAGGGGAAGGGGAAAAAGGGTTATTCCTGGAACAAAATGTTTCTACTTTCTCTACCAGCTTCAGCTACTAAGAATAGTAGCGGGAAAGTTGAGCAAGGGCGGGAGAGTGCATCGCGCGTGCGCTTCAGAGCGGGTTGGTACTCCATTTTCCCCGCCCAAAATATGGGTTTCTTTTAATTCAAGGTTTTTTTCAAAGATTTTAATTTTTTATCTTTATTTTCTTTATTTTTTAAAATATTTTTTATACCTTTTACTTTATTTATTTATTACTGATTAATGGATTGATTATTTTATAATTTATTAAAGTTTCTATTCGTAATTGTAGATAGATTTTAATACAAGTAATAAAATAACTTAAAATGAATTGTGAGATATAAGATCTACTTTGAATTATCTATGTTAATCTGAGTTAATTAACTATGATTGTATCTCTTTAATTCATAAAATTGTTAAATAAATTAAATACTAAAAACAACTATATAAAATTATCTAATTAATAAGGGAAATAATCATGAGAGCATTTCTTTAATTATTGACTAATTAAGAAGAGATTAAGTTATTAAGTTATCTTGAGTTACCATAAACCAACCTTGACTAACCATTTTCGCTTCATAGGATTTCAATTTATTTTTAATCACTTTCTTTTACTTTAATTTTCAATTTCAATTCGCATTATACGAATCTTTTACTTTCATTTTTATTTTATAAATTTGATCACTTTATGTGTATTCAACCATGCATACTACTATTACAAATTTATTTTGAATAAAAAATATTATTAAAGGCTTTGCGAGGTACCTTAAGCAAGTCTTCGTTGAGTAGGGCATGCAATGGATCGGAGATGGGTCAGGTGGAGCTTCATCCACCTCATCACCCGCTGGTGGAGCGGATGAAAAATGGATGATACTATGAATAAAACCTATTTTTACATCATACGCTCAAATTCTTCTAACATTCATAGAAACCAAACATTGATACTCAAACATTCATAGAAACCAAAACATGAACAATAAATTTTCATCAAATTCAAAAAAAAAACAAAATGGAACACAGTTTATATAGTCTTGTGCACTATGTTAGTGATACACTTTTCAAGTGAATAGATGCATCATGTATAGTCTTGTACACCAAATATAATCTTCATCAACAAACTATCACGTCTCAAAAGTCCTCTCCATCCTAGTATCAATAGGGATAAACCAATATTAAAAAATTAGACATATTTTCAACGGGATAAAAGTCAGAATTAAGAGAATAAGAATATTTACCGAGTTAGCATCAACATCAAGCACTACACTTGATGAACTTCCCTCGTTTTCCACATCAAAATCCTCCAAGATAGTAGCACATGCATGTGCATTCTCAATAGAAGCTTCTGAAATCATATATCAAACAAGACATCCGAAAATTCAAAATTAGAATATTAAAATTCCTATGTATGATTCTAAATAATCACATTAACAGACTATTCTGCATAATAAAGTAAAGGCCATGTATAATAAAGTAAAGTATATTTACCTGCCATGTATAATATATATATATATATGGATAGATGGATATATTAATGGGTGGATGGATGCAGCGAGTGATGGATCGGGTGATGGGTCAAAAAAAATTCATCCATATCCGACCCGACCCATCACCCGCCAATCATCCGTTTCATAACAGGTTTTCATCCATTTATTCGGGGCGGGTGGGTGGATAATCCACTCACCCATGGATAATTGCCAGCCCTATCGGTGAGAGCGGTGGTCTTGGGTTAAAAAATGCAACAAAGAATGGCGCATTTCTGATGAAAATTACTTATAATATGCTTCTAAAAAAAGATCATCTTTAGGTTCAAGTGTTTAAGACCAAAATATAAATGGATCTTAAACCACACAATGAATCACGTTTGTGGATGGTGCTTTTGTACATGGGAGGAGGTGAAGAATGGCGTCATTTGAAAATTCTGGTTTAAAATGGCTCAACTAATGAAATGTAAAATGACGAGGGAAGAGCTGCACTGTAACATTTTTCTTTGATCAGAATTTGGAACTTATCCAACTGCCCCCCCCCCCTGCAATTCATATATCAAAAACCAAATCATAAAGATTCAAATTTTATATCCATGAATTTCTAAGAACTAAAAATACAAGTATCAAAAACTATAACTTCGTACTGATGCTGTGATACTACATTTTCGTTTTGTAAGAGAAGTGTACGAGTAAAGAACACTGATTGATGACATGACATGGAATGTATCGAAAACCAAAACATAAAGATTTAAGATTGATAGCCAAGAATTTCCAAGAACTAAAAGAAACAAGTATTAAAACACAGCACACATCATTTCAAACTGATGTTGTGATACTACTTTCTGTTTTGTAGGAGGACGTACTACAATAAGGGTAACAACTGTATGCATGAAGAAAACAAATTGATAAAATTGATATTCACTAAAGAAACACACTTTGCTAAATCACAAAGCATCAGAGTAAGACTATGAGGTCATATTTCACAGCTATACACGAAGGTCAAAAATGAAAGGTCAATAAGAATCACAGCCTCAACTGTCGTCATAAATTTGGCAAAAAGTAACAAAGAAAACACCAGCTGGATCTCAGAAGCAATGTCCCTCCTATACATAAATAATCTGAGGTAACATAAAGAAAAAGGTAAACTATAAACTCATTTGTCCTAAACAAAGGAGAAACTAGAAAGGACCTGATGGTTTTTAGATCCAACATAGCACCAGTAATACTACAAATAACACACATACATCATCATCTTCAACATAGCATCACTGGACCAGAATCAGATCAACAAAATAAATAAAAGATTTGATGAAATCAGAGTTCAGGATACTCTTAATCCTCGAATCCAACCAAGACTAAGGTGAAATGCTAGTTTATCAAAGAAGGAATGAATATGCAAATTTTGCAAGCACGTAGAACAAAAGACATGACATTTGAGCAAATCCATCAAAGGGTCTAGCGGAGAATCAATAAGCCTACTAGATCTTCTAAAATAGCATAGTTTTTCATAAGGCATCGGTTGCATACAATGGGCTAGGCTAAAAATTCCAATAAACTTTATTTGTAAGTAAAAGAACTCAATTCAGTAATAGGGAAATAGCTATTGCTTCAAAATTGATCATTTTTGGCAGATTGAAGATAAATTCTTTTCCATAAACAATGTAAGAATTCCCCGATATTTAGATTCATCCAAATGAAAATATCCAAATATATTGTTTTTAATTTTAAACTAGCATGCAAAATCAGATTAGGCAAATTACTTAAGCGGAGCCGACGATGATGTTGTTGATAGGAATAAAGATGAGCTTAACGAAGAATCCGACGAATCCCATCACTACAAAACCAATCGCTGTACGGAACGCCACCTTCGTGAACTCTTCATAGGAAACAAAAAAAAATAAAACAAAATCCTTAAAAAGAAGGAATAAAAACCGAAAAATTCCAGCAGATCCGATATTGTAAAACAAATAGAAGGGAAGAAGAAAGGGGGGATACCTTTACGATCGGGCTTGTGGCAACGCTTGACGAGGCGGACGCTGTCCTTGGCGAAGTCTCTCAAAGGATCTACGACGTTGTCAAGGGCGTCCATTTCTCTTCTCTCTCAAAACGAAAATTGAATGTTATAGACCTCTAGTAGAAAGAATTCTTTTTTATAAACGAAAATTGAGTGGAGGCGTAGTGCAAATGCAGGTTCATAATACGTCGTGGAAGAGTTGACTTTCTTAGTCAAATTTGGAAGCCATTTTCGGCCGTACCTGTGCCCATGGGCCTCTTCCTGGACCGCTTGCCACCTTTCATTGTACTTCGGCCTACATTTTAGGTCCTTTCAATATAAACAAATCATAACCTTTTTAATGTTCGATCAAATAATCGTTACTCTATACGTTTTTGCCATTTAATCCTTATTTTCTTTAAAAAATATTTTAACACTCAACATTTATTTTAAGGTTACAAAAATCCTATCTTAGAATATTAATTATTTATTAACTAACGATTTTCATTCATAATTTATAAGGAGACATTTTTACTTTAAATGAAACATTGTTAGGGACCAAAATACTTAAAATAAAAAAAATATCGACCAAAGTAATTATTTAATCAAATATTAAAATATTTTTCTTTACGGTATGTCTTAATTAATTTAATATTTTTTAAATAAAATTTTGTTCACCTTAAATTCGAACCAAGCTTCAACCTATTGGCCATCCACGAATATATTCGTATGTCAAGTTGGATTGAGAAGCCAGAATAGAAAGAGAGAGATTCTTGCTAAAAGTTCTATCAAATCTGAACATTACTTTACTAAATGAATTATAAAATTAAAATATAACTCATTATACATTCAGATTAAGATACTTCCCAAATCTGGATAGCATAAACTACTACCGCTACTGATGGGGAAGCTATAAACACAAATGATTCTCAATTCTTACAACCAAAAACATATGGAAATCAAAAGAAAACACTCAACTATGTTCTTCTGACCTTACAAAAGAAAAACAATGTTCCTTTGGATTTAAATTATGCATCGGATACAGATGTCGAACTAGACAATTCGACAAAAGAAAAACATAGGTTGTTACCAATAGTCGATCTCCAAAAATCATGGACTTGAAAATTATGTTCATTCATATGAAAATATATCAGAAGCACAACAACAAATGAGCTAATTAAATCCCAGAACTGCACAGCATTAGAAGAGATTTTGTTTAGGTAAAGTCATAGCAGCACAAGCCTATTTGTTTTGCTGCACTTAAATTAGTTATGGGTCTTTTTCTAAATAAATAACATTTAAAAAGTAGCTTTCCAGAAACAATGGCAGACAGGTTCACATTCATAAATCACAAGCAACCAAAATTCCCAATTGATTACCCAACAGCATCACACGATTTGCCACACCATCGAACGCCCGCATCGGACCAATGACTTGCTTAGCTGCAGAAAACAACAAAATTACGAAGAGTTTAGACGATGGCCGGTATGAACAAGGGTAAGGCATGTGATAAACCAATCCTCTTTGTTTTAATAGATAAACCAACAATTCATGCTCAAATGGAAATATAACGGTAGAGTTATGTACTTCCAAAAACCTGGATTTTCCATTTTTATATATACAAAATGAACATCCTTCCAAAGTGGCTTAAAACACTAGCAGAATCACCACTTAGCAATATTCAGATGTCAACAATAATAAATAGTAGTTCGGGACATGCTACCCGAATTCTGAAAAGTCATGACCAAGGCCCGACTCTTGGAACATGAAGATAAAGATCTAAGAAAGGCAGCATGAAGACAAGGAGATTGCACCACAGATGAAAGGATAACGCTTCCATAAAACCAAAGGGAAATAAACAAAACATGCATTCTTACCATGCAAAAATAATAACTTAGAAGCAATGCTATATTTAATGCTGGACGGCATAATATGATATGCAAGTGCAAAGAATGCAAAAGTGATAAAACACAAACATGCCAATGAGATTAACTATACATATCCTGATTACCACATGGTGCAAGAGTTAGGGAGAAAATACTAATTTAGTTTGAAGGAAGCAAAAATACAAGCAGCACAAGCATAGTTGTTGGATTTACAGATAAACAACAAAAATAAAAAAGTACCAAAAACCAACCAGCATTAAAGAACGACTAACACACGTGCCCCATCCCCACCTAAACTCCCACCCGTTCTTCACTTTTCTTGCCATACCAACTTTTTGTTGTCCAACAAAGTCAAGTTGGTGTATAGTACCATTTTTGTTCATTTTCATTGGAAAATATATGGCGTCATCTATATTCTGTCAAGAATTGTCCTGGAATACTTGTTCCCAGTAAACTCACCTTTTTCTATTGTCAAGCTTTACTAAGTCTTAACCATATCATTCGGGGACGTGACTAACATAATTTCTCATTCTAAACAGGTTCTCCTTGTTCCTTTCAAGCTTTCCTATATGGAAACTATCTCCAGATTTACTGAATCGAAAACAGTTATGTTTCATCTTACAAAGCTAACTAAAGCATCTGTAGAAGCAAGGCCAGCTTAAATTACTCATAAGAAGCATGTGTTACGATGAAATATGAGTGATATCATCACCACCATCAGTGCCTAGTAGCTTGGCTTACTGTAAAGCTAAGTTCATCTCATCATCAATAACAAAAGATTGTAACACGTAAACAACTTCAACCTACCGAATGGGATCTTTATACCTAACAACTAACAAATTCACCAATGCAGTTAACCAGTTTTAGTGAGCGAAACATAGCTGATCAAGAAATATTGGAAATACAGACCAGACATCAAGACCTACAATGATCATGCTACAACCATAACCCACCAACCTCATTAACCGGTCCTCGACGAGGGAAACGGAAACACGACAGCAACCAAGACATTTTTGAAAACATAAACAAGCCAACAAGACCTACAATGATTGTACTCAAGTAGACTCATTGAAGCAATTCCATCTCTAACGAAAGTTCAAAGCATTGGAAGCATTTAGTTATCAGAAGTTCAGAACCCTATAAAATAAGCTAGAATCTCAAACAACAAACTAAACATTGCTCTAGTAAATGTTCCCCATCCCACAAAATGAATAGAATTTAAGAAAGAACTGAACTTTAGTTTTGAAATAAGAGCAAGAATTTTACGAAATCAAAGAAAATAATTTTCCACATACCCTTGTCCGTCAAGATTTCCATGACCGCCGCTACCTCCGCTTGCATACGACCCATCGTCAGGCCCCGCCGTCTGCCAAACACTCTGCCAAGCCTGCGAGGGTGGCTGGGCATACATACCACCGGTGGGGTCGACGGCTGGCCTCCCGATCATCATCCCACCAGGGCCAGCAGGACCGCCGGTAGGCTGACCCATGGGAGGATAAAAGTACGGAACTCCACTAGCGGTGGCACCCACCATCCCACCCAAACCAGCCTCATCCTTGATTTCGTCCCTGGGAACAATATCCACCAAGAAATCGAAAATGTCGGTCCTAGTAATAGCCGCTGCGATGTCGTTTTTCTGAAGCGTCCGTCGCTTGTTCTCCTCGGCGTGAAGCCAAGAACGGATAGTAAGCTCCAAAATGAAAAGCTCGCAAGCCTTGGCGAAGAGAACGGGGGCTTCAGCTGAGATCATACGGACATCTTCGTCGGCTTTCATGATCTTCTTGATGCGAGCGAGAGGGAGCTGATGGTTCTTGAAGTCATTAACCTGCTCGATTTCTTGGCGCTGGTAAGACCAGAACATTTGGAGCTGCTGCTGCTGCTGCTGGAGGAGGTGGTGGAAGGGCGCCGGCGGAGTGACGGCGATGGCGGAAGGTTGGGTAACAGAAGAAGTGGGAGGGTACGGGGAGGACTGAGCTTGCTTGCAGCTGTCCATTGGATGAAAATTTCAACGGCAGATTTTGGGGCAAATGAGGGGAAATCAGAAACTAGTGGATGGATGAACTTGGGTTTTTATATAGGGTGGGAGATTGAGGAGATGGTGGTGCTATTTTTAAGGATCAGCTAAGGTAAACTACAGCCATTGGCAGCTGATTATATTAATATTTATACATATAAATAAAAATAAAAATTTATTTTCCTAAAAAAAGTAGGTAAATTTTAAAATATTTAATTTTAATATTCAATCAATCATCTTATTGGTTGAGTTAGCGTTGAACTTGTAACACCATGCTCAATTTAGAATTTTATAATAATATAAATATTCTAACTATTGAATATTTATTGAATTTTATACCATGAATTACATCTTCATCCTCAGACTCAATTTTTTTTTAATAATTATTATAACAGAAAGGAATAAGATTCCAATGGCCCTTCAAAAGTGAAAATGTGTTGTAGGGACTATTTATTTATTTTTATAATAATTTAGTGAATCTTTGTAGCTTTGCCAAAACCTAAAGGGTCATTTCCAAGTGCTCATTCTTGATTATTATTAGTAGGAGTTAGAATTTAGTCAAATTTATAAATAAAAAAAATTAAGCTCGATTACGTTTATTAATTTATTTTTGAATAAAAATCGTTAGTTTTATTAAAAATGAATAAAAAATCAAATTATAATGAATGTTTATAGTCGGGTCATAAACTAAATATATAATAACACAAGAAAACTAGACATTTAAGATCACAAAAAGACCATATAAATAAAAAATTAAAAATTTAACCAAATAAACTCGAACAAGAAGTATATATGAATAAATCTGACTGCATCAGCAAACGAACTACAAAAAACGATCAAACTATTAAATACCGTCGACAAATCACAAATCATAATCGAGCTACATGACAAAACTATCCACGAACGCAAATAAAGTATCCAAATCCAATCTAATGGTACAAATCATGGAATATCAGCATGATAACAAATAAGAGACATCTTGATTAATCATGGCGATGTCAAATCCAATTATGACGATGTCAAATTCAACCATGAGAAAAAAAATAAACGAAAACAATTGTCAAACAACCGAAAACGTTCTATAAAGACAGAGAAAATGCGTCATAACGGTAGAATTATTAAAAATTAAAAAACAAAAAAAGTAAAGATACACTATAATAAAATAAAAGAAAAACAATGAATACCGACTATCGACGATCAATACCAAAATTAGTGTCATTGCCGATCACAAAGATAAAGAAAAAAATATCAACTTATTAAAGGCTTATTAAAAAAATAAAAGTAAACTACACCACATGTCATCAATTTAGTACCATTTTTTTATTTTAATCATTAAACTATTTTTCTAACAAAAACATCACGCGCTATATATTTTTTATTTTGATCATCAATCTTTAAAAAAATTGATTTTTTAATAAAAAATTCGTCATTTTTTCTTTTCTCAATGTTTGTATACATGTCATTTTTAATAATTTTATTTGGACTAATAATATACATGTAACAATCAATAAATAAATAAAAATAGAAGGGTTTTAGTTTATATAAGTCTTTTAGGGTTTAGATTTTAGGTTTCAAATAATAAAATTTTAATTATAAATTATTGGAAAAAAGGAGGGTTAGAAATTATTAAATATATACCCTTTTTGGTCCCTTTATTACTAAATATTAAAATTATTTAAATCCAAAATTCCAAATTAAGGAAAAAATTATCTCCATATATGAAAATTATCACATTCATTGCTGTGGGTTTAGCTGCTTAGTAGCTTAGGAGTTAGGACCACCTAAGGCTAATCCTATTTCAATGAAAGGAAGGACATCCATCACTTTTGATTCAATTTGTGGATCCCCTGTGAGACACTGGGGAATTTTTAAGTAATTGATTATGAATCTGTCTGAAAACATATTCGCATACAGGATAATGTCCTCCCTGAGTGCTGCCTTGAACAGCAGAAATGCAGTTTTCTGGTTCCCAACAATCGTCTAATGGCTTTCCCTAAATGTGCAGAAACTAATCACATTTAAAGGGATACTATTAGTGCTCTTTGCTTTACTTGAACAGATACTTGGGGGTGTTTTGCTTGGATGTGTTAGTTATATGGTAGGGGCGTAAGTGCAAAAAAATAGGTAAAATTATTTTAAAGAACTGAATAAACGTTTGCAAGCCAGTCTCTAACTCATCACAATCTTGTCTTCTGGACTTATCATTTTCATCTTCTACTCTTCTGGACTTATCATTTTCATCTTCTACTCTTGTGGATAGATAGGTTGATAGAGGCACGTGAGCGATTGAATTGTCTTTTATTAAGAACCTGTCTCTAATCTCTATATTACCCTTGAAGATTTCTAGTCCTTTTCATTGTGTCTTTCAGAAAATGCACTATTTTCTTACTGTCAAGAATTGGTTGTCTTGAATCTTGTTTGATTATCGTTTGCTCCTCTTTTGCTACCTTTCTATAGCCGCCCTTAAAGCCCACAAGTTCACACTTTATATCATGTCTGCCTCATTCATGTGACTGGAGATTAAATCGGTGTTTGTGCAATGCACAGTCAGAATGAATCATATATACAAATATTCCAATAGAGCTCTATTTTGTCCATGTGCTGCTTGGCATCATCATGGGAATACTATTTTGACATGATGACCATGATTAATCTGAAACGGTGAAACCTTGTCGGCTTGTTGTATATTAAAGGACTTCCGGCTGAGACATCAATTGAGAGGTTTGTGACAATTGGAGCATACAGTCTCTTGAGATCATGCACAATCGAACCAGAGTGCATTATCGGACAACATTCAATTCTTATGGAAGGTTCCTTGGTGGAGACACACTCGATTCTTGAAGCAGGTTCTGTAGTTCCACCAGGTAGGAGAATCCCAACGGGTGAGCTTTGGGCAGGAAATCCAGTCAGGTTTGTTCGGGCCTTGACCCATGAAGAAACCTTAGAAATCCCTAAACTTGCAGTAGCAATCAATGATCTAAGCAAAGAACATTTCTCAGAGTTCCTTCCATGTTCAACAGTATATTTAGAAGCTGAGAAGTTAAAGAAGTCCCTAGGAATAACCATTTGATTGCCTTTCATTTTTCTCCATAATATCATCGGCTTCCTCGAGGTTTCCTTTCCTTGCAAGGAAATAAGCAGCCGACGAACACCCGAAGGATCTTTTCTGTTGTCTATACATGCATTTCATCATGTTGGCTGTTGCTCAAAAAAAAGAGAAAAAAAAGGCAATTTCCTTGGATCATTTCGTAGTCCAATTGTCAATAATATACAAATCTTGATTGATTTTTGTACTCGTATTATGTTTAAAGGTTTGGTTTATGCGTGGAGTGGGATAATAGATTCGCAGGGTAGGGTTGGTGATCAGCTTAAGTTTTCCCTACAGAACTATTACAAACGGTACACATTCATGTACGACTACTCTATTTCTTTTATTTCCATATTTGGAGACTTTCTTTCCCCTCAGTTTAATATGAATTAGTACTATTTAATAATAAAAATATATAATTTAATATGTTTTCAACATTTTCTTATTTATAAATTGAGAATCAACTTCATTTAGATTCAACCTGATTCAATTGTAATATAGGAACTTTAAAAGAAATTAGTACTCCCTCCATCCTATTAAACATGTCTATTATTGACTTTTTAAAAATTAAAATTTGTAGTAATTATTTTAAATTATTAAATTTTATAAAATATATATTTGAATTTGAATCTTGACATTTACCTTTAAAATATAATATCTTTTAACTTAATCAAGAAAATAATAATAATCGATTCTCTCCTATTCTCTCAATAGACTTATTTAAGAGTTACATTAGTTTTTATATAATTTAATAAATTTAATTTATGTAAAATATCTTTTTTTTAAAATAATTTAAATTTGTTCAAATTACTATAGTTAGCCATGTTGTTTTAATTGAATTTAATTATAATATATATAATATTTTTAAAATATTAAAATGGGTTAATGGATTGGCTCGAGCTCGCTTTCATTCGGACTTGGACATGGAATTTGAAGACTTTTTTAAACCTAATATGGCTAATGAACATCTTTAGTTATAATCTGTATTCAATCATCTAGTTTAAAATTTCACTAAATTAGATTTCATTATTCATTTTTATTTTTTATTTATGAATACAAAAATTGTTTATGAAAATATCATCCTTTTACGTCACGTAGAACAAATACGTGTCCAATCAAAAGCGTATTTCAAAAAACATGTTTTACATGGCACACATTCTCCATACGTGGCACAAACGCTCCAAAAAAGAGGGGAACAAATGAAAGAACAAATCAATACATAAAGGTTACAACAAAATTAAATGGAACATAATGCTTTGGAAGAAAAACACACCAAAAAATTTATATCATAACGGGTATAAGAAAATCAGACAATTACAATATATATCATACATCGATTTTGATGATTAACCAGTTCACACAGATAATAAGGGGCTGTTTGTTTACTGTTGAATGGAACTATTCAGCGTTGAATGTTGAACGTGTGTTTGATTCTCACCTCTGAATGAAGACTATGTTGAATGATTCAGCAAAACACTGTTGAATGATTCAGAACCATTATCAAACAGAATGTCACATTCAGAGCTAATTCATACAAAGCCTTTGAATCATTCAAGCCATTGAATCATTCAACGCTAAATCATCATGATTTAATCAAACAACCCCTAAATCTCATTGATCAAACAACCCCTAAATCTCATTGACTAATAATAATTTATGTATCGAAAATAAGTATCAGGATACATAAAAAAGTGTCGTGTTAGAAGGGGAGGTAACTCGTAAATTCGCTACAAACAGTAACCCAACAATAATGCAATATAATATCGAGGCTCTTCTCATCATACTAGACGTCTAAGGTTAACAAAGTTCAATAAATCTCAGCTCAAGGTCCTGATCTCATATGCACAGCAAATGGAGGCCTAAGATATGGAGAGATTTACCTTCATATCGTCATCAATATTAATTGTTAAGTTTATAATTAATAGATCGTTTATTTGTTTAGATGGA